TCCTGGCATCGCTACTAGGAGCAAGGACGCTACTAGGGTCTCCTGGCCTACTAGGAGCTTCGAGGAAATGCATCTGCTTCAGCTGAGATCAATGAAGAGCTGGATAAACCCAAGGAAGAACAAAACCATAAGGTTCATGCCACTGATGACCTCGGTGTTTAGTGTTTAGCGATTCGATGTCCACTTTCGACCATGATTCTTGTCCCAAGGTACCAAAGGTATTGAAGTTCTTTCTCCACTGAAGAGACAACTGGGAAGGACACTGGGGATTTGGGTGTCAAACAGCGGGATATAGCATGTCGGATGATCATGTTCGTCCCGGAAGTTCACGTAACCTCGTACAACGAACCTTTGTTGACCACCACTCCCATTGCCCCCAGCAGCACCTCCCGTCTTGGGCTACGTGAGCGTGATGTCATTGCAAAGCATGCTTTTCGTACCGTTCTTCTCTCTATGGGCGTCTTGCACTAATCACGGCCTTCGTGGGACTGGACATCAAGCTGTTTACCGTGAAAGGCCATGTAACAGAATAGTTGATCACAAACCCGGACTTCTCAGCGACTAGAGTCGAAGAGACCTGGTGAGTGTAAACTCAAGCTTGTTTTCCACATTTGAATCGCTTCACTTCCAAATTACGAGCCATGATCTGAGGCCGAGATTTTTCACAAAGCAAGTTCACATCCGGACGTAGTCTCCATCTGATCTGACTTTCAGGCAAGTTTTCTTCCACCTTCTTTCAAGGAGTAGCAAAGGGCCTCGCTACTAGGAGCAAGGACACTACTAGTAGCTCCTGGCCTTACTACTAGGAACAAGGACGCTCCTACCCTAGCATTGCCTAGCAGCTATAGCCTGAAGCGGCATGATGCTTTTAGGGTTGAGACTCGGGTCAGACAAGGGGAAGGGATGGAGATGGGAGATCAAGACTAGACTCACTCAGCGACTGGGGACAAGCTCGGAGCGACTAAGAGCGAGGCCTCCGACCTACTATAGCGATGGCCTCCAACCTATAAGAATGATTAGTTGCTCCCGCCTGAGATGCAGAAGGGAGTCTACTCAAAATTGCAAAGGTGGCAACGCGGGTACGACTGGACAACCAACAAGTGGTGCGGGATGCCAAGGGTTTTCTTTGCATTTTGCAGGGTTCTTGCTCAACTGAGTTAGCCACTCTCTGAAAGGAGACTTCACTTTTTTGGTAAGACGTCGCAGCCTGAGGCTCTTTGGAAGCAGAGTGAAACAGCGTGGCTTCGCGACGTCTTGCATCTTCCACACTGTGGCAGTGGAGGTTGATGATGCAACAGAATCCATAGCCATACACTGTCTGGAGTCTGGAGCTGTTGGGATGGGAAAGCTTCAGTAGTCAGAGTCGTACTCAGAGTCTTCTGTGGTGGTTGGAGACTCTTCCTTGCAAACAATGGTCACCTCATCTGGCAACATGGCCACCATGCTGCTGCCGGGTATTTCTGTCGTGCCCACATAGCAGCAAATCCGCCGAACCATTCCAGGAGTCACCGGCCCCAAGGCGTCCTCTAGTAGAGGATAAACGCTTTCCGCAAGCCTGGCGCAAGTTGTCCACGCAAAGTAAAATGTGAGTTAGCAGTTAGCCTCTACAAACGTCTCTTCAATTCTGTTCGGCCAGAAGAGGCCGCGCATCCGAAAAGCATCAAAAAAGGAACAAGATGGAACCCACGAACCCAAATGCAAACACATACTCGAAAACAAGCGCCCAAACATTTTTGACAGTCTTGTAGGAAACAACACTCTTGTAGAACGCTCTTGTAGGACACACTCTTGTGGGACACACTGTACGACACTCACGTACGCAGATGTAGCTGAGGCCACAGCTCCCAGAAACTGCTTCCCGTAGTACATTTGCACTACAACGCTGCCAGCTCTACAGCTCCCAGAAGCTGGCTGCTCGCCGCACTACACTTGCACTACCAAGTGGCCAGCTCAGAGGCCACAGCTAAAGTTGCGCGAGGGGCCAGAAGCCACTTCTCGTAATGTATTTGTACTACCAAGTGGCCTGTCCTGAAGTTGCTTCCCACATTACATGTGCGCTACAAGTTGCCACTTCTCAGGGCCACTCTTGTGGGAAACTCTTTTGGTGGAACACTCTTGCGGGACACTCTTGTGAGACACTCTTGTCGGCCATTCTCGTGGGACACTTTTGTAGGACACTCTTGTTGGACACTCTTGTGGGGCGCTCTTGCGGGACACTCTTGTAGCACTCTCTCTTGTGGGACACTTTGGTATGAAACTCTTGTGGGGCACTCTTGCGGAATGCTCCTGTAGGACGCTCTTGTGGGACACCCTTGTAGGACACTCTTGTAGGGCACTCTTGTTGGACACTCTTGTGGAACACTCTTGTGGGAAACTCTTGTGGGACACTCGTGCATGACACTCACTTGTGGGACACTCTTGTAGGATGCATTCTTCTGGGACACCTTTGTAGGACTCTCTTGGAAGCAACAGCCTCAAACGCAAATCCCAATGTCGACACCCCAAAACCACCACCCTCTAAACGCCAATCCTAATCTGACTGCGCAGAAACTGCGGATCTCACAAAACGCTGCGCCTGCACAATGAAATCATCCTCCACACTTCAACATCTCACGCTTCCACACGTTTCCTCGCTATTTCGCACACGTTATGTTTCCATCCAAAACCCTCTCCAAAAGCTTCGCCCAATGTCAGCGCCATAGCGCCCCACCCGCGAACGGTTGCGGACGGTTGCGAGCGGTTGACAACGGTTGCGGAAGCTATACGACAACCATTCGCGAACAAGACTCTACCCCCAGACCCCCACAGTCAAACGAGAACCCTTCGCTACGCATTTGGGAAAAAAGAATAAGGGTTGCATATCCCTCCCTGCCTCCAGTGTGGTTGAACTTTTACTTCAGTTTCTCTGCCAGACATTTCCAGAAATCGGATGTTGCGCTGAACTCCTCTCGTCGCCAAGATGGATCGGAAGAGCTCTTCCCATTCTTCGCCACTCCGAAGCTGAAGAGCTCGTCCCACGAGCTCGTGCTTTTGACTCTCCTCGATGTTGGGCAAGATCGATGCTCTTTTATTAGGTCGGAGGCCATGGCTATTGGGTT